CATTCCAATTTCAAATTAGACGTTTGTTGTTCAAGTAATTCCACTTAAAGTAAGTGTTTGATATAAGCATATTTTGCGATTAGTGATGTCAACAAACACATAGCTTTAGTGGAATTCCAGGAACCATGGACATGATGCAAATAGTATTATCAGTGTGCATATAATAAAAATTTAGAAAGCATCTTTACAATCCCTTTAAGATGTAAAAATATCAAAATTGTCTTGAGGCAAAAATTTTGAAAAGACCTTGAGTACTTTCAAATTCAATTTTATTGTGTATTATAGACTGGAATGAAAACTACATACACGTCATTATAGAATAGTGCCAGGGGATCACTAGCATTGACCAGGAAAGCATTAGTACGACCAGGATGATCTACATCATGTACCACAGCTGATATTAAACATGCTACTTCATCAAACTGATCAAATACACTCTGAAAATAATTAGATCAATCAAAACATAGGCAGGACTAACAATTAACAAATTACAATAATAATTTATATTCACTATTAAAATAGTGCTCAATACATCAATTATAGAGTGATATAGAAATTCCACTGTTAAAATAGTGCTAAATACATCAATTGTAGAGGGATATAGAAATACCACTGTTAAAATTGTACTCATTACATCAATTGTAGAGAGATATAGAAATACCACTGTTAAAATAGTACTCAATACATCAATTGTAGAGGGATATAGAGATACCACTGTTAAAATAGTACTCAATACATCAATTGTAGAGGGATATAGAAATACCACTGTTAAAATAGTACTCAATACATCAATTGTAGAGGGATATAGAAATACCACTGTTAAAATTGTACTCATTACATCAATTGTAGAGTGATATAGAAATACCACTGTTAAAATTGTACTCATTACATCAATTGTAGAGAGATATAGAAATACCACTGTTAAAATAGTACTCAATACATCAATTGTAGAGGGATATAGAAATACCACTGTTAAAATAGTACTCAATACATCAATTGTAGAGGGATATAGAAATACCACTGTTAAAATTGTACTCATTACATCAATTGTAGAGTGATATAGAAATACCACTGTTAAAATTGTACTCAATACATCAATTGTAGAGGGATATAGAAATATTAAAACAGAACCTAAAAAATCATGTTGTTACTCAGAGTTTCACTCTTTGCGATCATCAGATAACTGACCTATTTTCAGCCTTCTGAAGTTGGACAAATTACCAAATCATAACCATTATTAATTACTATTATATAAACCATGAAAAGTTATAACTCTTTGATATCAATTCAAAGCTAAGAATGAGGTTGATATTTTCACACTGGCTCCCTCTATCTTTGTGAAACAGACTCAATAAAACATTGATTTTTCATCAACCTTCTGGGAAGTTAAGTGAACTGGGTACAGGATTTTTTGGACTTTGACTGAGTGATGAAGATTGTTTAATTCTGTTCATTCTTCTGCCTCCATTTCTGTTGTTTGAAAGAAAGCTTGAAGGTATATTCATTTATTTAAAGCATACTCACCTTAACTCTATCTGTATCTAAGAAATAAGCAGTAGCATGAAGTACGTCAGCTGCATGAGTTGAATTATGATAAGTATTATCAGAGTGATAGTTACTCTCTATCAATGTTAACCAATTAAATAACACATCTTCACTAATATCTAGAAACTCACAAACACCAAATCTTGCAAAAATCTTTAATCCTAGAAATACTAGTGGTCTGAAACATATAAATATACAAATTGTCAGTCCAAATCTAGCAAATATCTTTAATCCTAGAAATACTATCTGAAACATACAGATATACAGTCACATTTTAAACATTTTAACTAGTCTCAGAATTTTTATAATTTCAAGTAATAACTCTATTTATAATCATGAACTTTCATGAAAATTCAAGCTGAATAGTTTTAAAATTCTGTCTGAAACTAAATGTCAAAAAATCCCCCCACACAGTTAGCAAGTCTTAGGATGATGTCAATGGAATGTCATGATCATCAGACAGTGTTTTTTACTGATTTTCAGAATCCTGAAAGCATTTAGCTCAAAATGGACAAAAAAAGTGTCACAGACAGACTTTCATTAAAAACTGTGGTTTAAGCAATAAATGAAAGCACAGAAACAGGTTTTTTTGGAATTGCCACAATGTAGGTTTGGCTATGTTAGTTATGGTAAAAATATAATTATACTATTTACCGGTTATCAGTAACTCGTTCTAATTCAATGATATCAAAAGACCAATCAGTTTCAATGTCTAATACTGACTGGATAGTTTCAGGAACCTGAGAGAGGGAGGCGGTAGGGCTGGATGGAATGTGAAGATGGGTATGGTGGGCTGCAAGAGAAATAAAACAAAGACCATTATTTTAAAGGGTAGTGACTTATGGAATGCATAAAGTAAAGGCCAGAATAATTATAATTATTAACTTTAACTGGTCTGGAAGATCAAGCAGCCAACATTTGTCAGATTTAAATTCAGGACCCCAAGGAGTAACAATTTGGACTGGAGGTCTATGGACAAACTCAAGTAAACTCAATAAAAGACCTTTCCATTTCAAATGAAGAAATTCCTTACGGTATTTTGAAATTGATGTATCATGGTTAGAGTGACGTCGTTTTACGTTTTGCTGAAAAATACAAAAACATCAGAATATCAATTGCAATTGCTTGAGCAGTAGGGACTGATGTGATATAACTTTATCTACATATATTTACAAATCCAGAGTACATTTTACTCTATAAAGCCAAATAATAAGAATTACCATTAACAAAATCCACATATTCAGTACTCAAAGTATATGATATGATTCCATGGAATTGTTAAGTAAATTCAGTAAATAATATATGTCCTAGAGATAATGACCACCACTCTCTAGTTTCCTAAATTAATGAATATATCCTGGAGACTTTGATCTTTATGCTATGTCTACATGCAAGGCTATATTTCCATATTGTCCTTGTTGGTTACAAATTCTCCAGATTTTTATCTTGAGCGAAATGAGAATTATAGACCAAGAAAGCTCAGCACAGGTCTACTAATTACCATTAGCATGCACCAAAGAAATCCCCCCCTTAAATATGACTTGTTTAAGACTATATTTCTCTCCCAAATTGTATTCAATTCTGTGTTTAATACCATGCAGTGCACAATGAGGTGATTTTTGCAGGGAAGTAACACAGGCACAACTACCGTAATTTGGATGAGTATTTCCTTTCTTAATTGACCAAGGGAAAGATTAAAAGCTTTATTCATTGACCAACACAGCACTCAATAAAGACCTTGTTGAAAATGACGTTATAAATCAAGGTAGGGAGGTAACTTACTGAAACTAGACCTCCAACTAAATCAGATGTCATGGGATCTTCATCTTTCATTTGTTGGTTAAAAAATGGTGAGTATAATTCACTAGATCTTAAGATCTCTAAGACTTTATCTAGAGCTTGTGCTACTGTTAAAGGGCTGTTTTCTTGTGCTGCATTGATTATGTTGATTACCTGAAAAAAAAATATAACAGTTTTTTGGGGTCGTTTTTGTCTTAAAGAGATTGTTAAGAGCTTTTCATCTGTATTGAGGACACTGATAGTATTAATTTGCACCATCTCAAATTTCAGTCAGATGTCTGTGGTTCCTACAGTTCCACAAAAGATAAGTGTTTGATCACACCAGTAATTGCAAATATGCTTGTATCACATAAGGCCCTTCACAATTAGTCAACGTCATCAAACACTTAGTTTTAGTGGAATTGCAGGAAGAACAGACGAAATTGAATGGAAACTATCTATATCTTATCTTTATCTTACTGCTGTTTGTTGTGCATCTGATAGAGATTTGGGGGGGATCAACTCTAAAATGAATCTTTTTAAGCCCCTTAAAGACTCACAAACAGATAAAAGGTTTTCAATATATTTGCTGTGCATGTAATCAATTTAATGAAAGATACTCTCCCATGTTTTCTAGGGAATGTGAAATATAAATGCTGACAAACAAATTTTTTGTTACAGACATGTAGGAAGAATAGAAGAAGAACTAGAATGGTGAATTCATTAGAAAAAAACTTGCTGGTCAGATTTTTCAGTAGACAATATTAATCCTGCTTGTATTATAGAATGACACATGATAATACCATTACTGTATCAACCAAAAGTTCAGATTCTTTGAATACTAATCAGAAATTTGTTACCCAGATTTCTCCCCGAAAATATATCTCAATTTAGTAATCGATACCAAGCCTCGATATCCATAAAAAGCCCAAAACAAGAAGATGAACAACAACTGGGGTACTGACATAAGTAATAATATTTTTTTTCATATCAAAATGTTTGATATACTTACTTTAGTTATTGGTGCCTCAATGGTCATCGAATGAATTCTTGCTGCAGATTCTCTTCTTTTATTTAGACCAGCATGAATTCCTCCTGTTAATATTAATAAACAAAATTTCTCACCAGCTCTCCAAAAACTAGCTTTCTAAAATTTTACTGCATGAAATAGTTAAACGAAATTTGATCCACAATTGTTTGAATATAACATGAAAGTTTAATGAATATTTTCAAGAAGACCAGCCTTACTCTTTTACGTAATGTATCACAATATATATCTTAGTTTATGATTCTGACCTATTTTATTAATAGAATTCAAGGTTTTCATAAAATAAATAAAATTGTTTTAATTTTCAGAAATAAATAAAACAGCTGTTATATAAGAAAACTTATTGATTTTGTTGATTATCATAAACAGAACACATTTTCATAAAAAAACAATAGCAAAATTTCTACACCAATGTCACTATGAATTCTGTAGTTCTCTGTCACAAAAAAAAAACCAACAGGGAACGTGAGCTGGGTTTAGACCGTCATGAGACAGGTTAGTTTTAATGTTTTAATGGATCTGATGTTCATGAACTTGAAATGATTGGTTCCTCAACAGAAGTTAGAAATTTAGCTTTTTGAAACGACAATTCCAAAACCTAAATTGAATGTAAAGTGGACTAACAATACTATTTTGAGGCTACTTTTCCAATTCTCATAACAATGATAATAGAAAAAATTCTAAAAAATGTACACTTTGCTAAGACAATAGTTATCACTCAAAATTGAACATTGAACTGTTCCTTTAAGCATCCAATTACCTTGATTTAATAAAGGCTGGAGAGAAGAAGATAATGAGAGGCTCTGTTAGGGTGATATGGTGGCTGATTAATATACTACATGTCCTATACTTGACATGATTTATACATTTTATTAATTTGACTAATTTTCATCAGCAGTAGATCTAATTTGCCCACAAATGACCCCAAATTAGATAAATAAGCATATACATTAGTCTCCAACAATGATTAATTTACGGCTGGATCAGGTTTTCAAGATTTTTCATTTTTTTCTAACCTTTAAGTATGACTGCAACCATTTTGCATCTAATGCGAGATGTAAATTTCAATGTCTGCAGACATGACAATAATAATCTTCTGCCTTCCTGTACCCTTCCTTCTTGTGCCCTGTGCTTACTTGAAATCATTATTACTGAGGCTCAATATCATAGATTCAACTCATTTGAAAAAGTGATATTTAGAATAGCTCATTTTTCAGCCAAATCATGCAAAATAGCTATTAAAGGGATAGAGTAATCTAAAAATTTTCTTTATCATTTGATAGAGATCCATTTCAGCTATGTGTATTATTATTCAGATTTTTAAGAGCATCATTAATATTTTTGCATGTAGTTAATACCTTTGACCTAAAAACTAGTGCTTTTCATGAGCTCATCAGATCTTAACTCTGAAAAGTGAAAATATAGCTCATATTGACCACTATCAAATTTGATTAAGTAAATATTCAGAGGAAAATATCCCTTTAATACAAGTGATATATCATAATAATTGAAATATAAAATAATGCTTGCCATTTGCAAGTTGATATAAATCTGTGTCTTTAATACGTTCTAAGTGATGAGAGAGATCATAAGCCACTGTTTTAACTGTTACAAACTGAGTGATACGCCTGTGAAAAAATACAAAAAGAAAAGCGTAAATAAAAACATAGTGGTGAAACACAGCTGTGCTCTACATGCTTCATTATATTGGTTTATTTTTTATATCTATAATAATAAAATTACAGTTTATGTCTGTCAACTGATAAACAATAAATTTAATTTTCTCTATGTGATTTTTAGTTGACGACAACCCTGTTTACATTAAAAGATTACGAAGTGTTCCTGATTCTGTTCTAGGTTCTTTTCTAGGTCTAGGTCTCACTTCAAATTGCAAGTGTTCTCAGAACGATCCAGTGTTTACACTATGAATTTTTTATCCAGGGCAGGGCAGTCAATTTTTCTAATGTAAACTGGGCTTAAGTCTGTTTTCTCAAAAACTGGAATTTAAACATGTTCTTCTACACCAGACATGATTAAATGCCTTAAGCAGTCTATTGAGGAAAATAAACGGGTGAGGGGGAGGGGGGAGAGGGGAGCTGGTTTATTATGGCAAGGTTCACAAATCCTACTTTATTCATGCTCTTCCCAGGTTATAGAACCACCTTTCCTTCTTTACATGCACACGGTTACATACTATAATTCCTAGAAGATGGCCTAGAATTCAATTTCAATATCTGATTGATAAATTTTTCCTAAATCAAGGGTTGTTGACCTGTCAACTACTTTCCACTACTATACTAACAGTTCAGTATATGCTGCCAGTTCTTCCGCCATTTGTCATATTCTATAATGGCATGGCGTAAGACCGATAGACATTTAATCATTGATAAAGATGGCAATTGTTCAGTCTAGTCTATCATGTTTTTAACTATCAATTTATGTCAGTCTGTTGAGTTGACATCATTCTCATGTCATTGTACCCTTGATAACTGTCTTTCAGGTCTGCCTTTGTCATGGCCGATTGCAGCTTTACAAATTTTTTCTTTTTTCTGCTTATTTTAACACAAAATGGAAACGCTTATGAGTTTACATACAAATATATCCAGCTGTGAAAAATCAAAGCCTTGGTTTTTATTTCGATAAAAGGATTTTACATATAAAAAATTTCAATGTCGCTCTTTGCTTAAATTTTGGTAAAATATTAGTGACTAAATGTTTTGGGAGATATTGAAAACACCTTATAATACAATTTATGCAGCACATTAATATGGTACCAAATCTTTTCCAAATTCAACTTTTTGAAAATCTAGTATTATCCAGCATTCCATGCACGTGATTGTTTTAAGAGCAGTGAAATTGTGACAGTGAATCATCAAGCAAAATATAGAATTAGAAATTCAACTTACCCACTGAGCCCATGAACTGGGATCACTCGACAAAAACTTGGGAAAACGTCTCCACTTTTCCGTCGTGTATAGTATGAACCTTCCCATGTCTGAAATAAAAGTTAATTGAAATTATCTTATTTTAAATTATATCATATCGTCTAATACTTGATATGGTGGTTATACTTGTTGTGGTGGGCTATAGTTTTTTGACCTTTTGACTGCAGCTTAAGGTCTTTTGTTAATGTGATCCTGCTATTGTGATGCCTGATCACAAGACTCTGAGAACCTGATGTCAAAGTCCTAATAAAAGATCTTAAAGAATGCTTATGTCATTGGAAATTTTATGAACCCGGAAACATCACTGTTGATATGATAGACCTAAACTTATCTTAAACCTTTTAGTGTGAGCCTATAATTGTGAACTTGTTTGTGTTAGTCTGTTGACGTGAACCTATAGTTGTGTACTTGTTGGTGTTAGTCTGTTGATGTGAACCTATTGTTGTAAGCCTGTTGATGTGAGCCCTTTGTTGTAACCTGGTGGTGTGATCATGTTGCGACAATGTTGTTGCGAGCCTGTTGTTCTGAACCTGTTGGTGAAAGCCTGTTGATGTGAACCTATTGTGTTACCACTATCTGGTTATCCCCAAAACTTTCGTAGTGGAACTTGGAATTGAGCTGTTGTTAATTTCATAACTATGTTTTGAAACCAGTGAAACTGTTGTTGGTAACATGTTTATGAAGCAAGTGTTCAGGATGTAATTACAATGTGTCAGGCTTTTTTTCAGCTATCAAACACGTCAATGCAACATGTCTTGCGATGAATACATAATCAATTAGGAGTGAAAAATGTTTGAATGAATTCCTAGATATTTGCCAAAAATAACAGAAAACAACAAAGGTGCAATGTGCAGAACAAGGATAAACAAACTAAGAACTGTTTTTAAATCTAAGTCATAATTCTTAAAACAACATAATAATATGTAATCTTGCCGTCATATTTATTTAATATAAATGTATAGTACAGCAGCCTGCCTCAGTCTAACTTCATCATAGATGTTACCTCCAAGTTATATATTACCCAGCCAAAAATAATACAAACATGTAGAAGGAATGCTGCTATGTAATGTTGGTTATTTTTGTGAGAAATTTAATACGGAAATTGAAGTCTTTAGAATGTAGATACACTGAAATACAGGTTAAGAACCTAACTACAAGCTATTTGTTTAGACACTTTTGTTTTTATACGAAATTATTTCAGATTTATTTATGGAAAGATTATTTTTGTATGATTGTTTTTGACTAAATCATTTGTTCTAAAGATTTCGAAAATTTACAACAATATCTTAATTTTTAGTTTCATGTTTTGACTACAATGGCTCTTTCATTTGGTGCAAAGATACCAATTTTTGTAAAAATTGCATTATCATTCTTGGTTTTTCAATTAATGTCCAATTGAGGGAGTAATCATTCCATTATGAACATTGCTCACAATTTTTTTTTGTTTTTCTCAAGCACAAGAAAACAATGAAATCTCCTACAATAAGGGGAGACCTACCTTTACAATGGTATATATTAGGGGCATATATCTGTGTTTTGACACTAAATTGATTCAAGCAAATGTAAGTAAAGAGACTACTAGTATAGAAAGATCACAGACTAACCTTTCCCTTTTTAACTTGATCTGTGATAGTTTCATGTAAATCAGGTTTATTTTTATCATTTTTCGATAATTCTCGACTATCTTTATTATATACCTCTTCACTTGTATATCCTGTTAATCTCTCAAACCCATGATTTACATACTGAAATAAAGACATATGAACATTTTTAGCCACACCTTCATTTTCAATGGCTGATTTGCAATTTGCATTTTCTTAACATCTGATCCAGAGTAATTTTGCATTGTTATACTATTTAGAACAGAGGTTTTCAACCTTTTTCTTTCTATTACCCCTTTGAGGATCCTTGATCTATTACATTATCCCCTTTCCCTTCCTTTTTTCTTGATTTTCTTTTTGGTCTTAGGTTTTCCCTGCAATCTCTTTCATGGAGGAGAATTGAATAGAACAACATAAATTATAATTGTCCCATGAATTTTACGCTAGATTACAAAGCGCTTATATATTACCCCAAAAAATTTCAAATTCCCACGTTGAAAACCCCTGATTTAGAATGAAGATTGTTATTTCCTCTTAATTTCCCACCGTCTTCATAAGCCTGTAAGGTGCAGAAAAGTAGGACGTAAAACTCCATTCATTTAATTTCATTTCATTTATTTCTTCAATTTCCAGACTGTTAACATGATTCTTCTAATACATAAGAAGTTAAATTTATATTGAATTTTATTGAAGATGCTGGGAAAGCTTAATTTAAGCTATATCCACTTTATAAAAGGAAACCCTTCCGTTGTATGTAATAACCTGCTAATTGTGTCCTTAATCAGCCACCATACATATCACTATTATCTTATTACATCCAAAAATCAATTGATACTTTATTTCAAATTGATGTTAAACGTATATTAAATTGAAACAATAACTCAAACAAAGAAAAACTTGTGTAAAACTCTGTAAAAATATTGAGTTAGATAAAGGCTTTCAACATACTTCATTAAGTAATTGACATGGCGGTTTCATTAAAAGTTACATGAACTAATTTGGAATGTAATTATTATTTGTTTCATGCAATAACTTTAAAATTGTACTACAGTAACTCTTGACATTTTCGTTTTAATAAATACACATTTTAATTAAGTAAAATAATAATCATAAGTCAAAGTCAATTACATGACATGATATAAAATAGACTTTAACTTCCTGTTGTTTCAAATTATATCTCAAAGCTATTTGCTTTTATTAAAATTTCTTATCTATTAAAATAGTTAAAATTACTGAAGGTATAGTCAAATTTAATTCTGTATTCATATTCAATGTTATAAAGTGAACTTGTTTATTATGTATCAATAGATAGTGTTCTATGATTCTATTGAAATTGTTATACTATTTTAATTAGAGAGAAACTGGTACTGTCATTAAAAGGAATGAGATAATTGAAGGGAACCATCATTTTGTACTAGGATTACAACTTATGTTCTGCAAGCTGGTCCTGATTATCCATTTTGCTGGAAAAAAATGACTTATTAAAGATTAGTGCTGGCACAATATATCGGTGAATTGATTTATCGTGATACGAAATGCCACGATGTCGTGTATCGATACTTGACGATACCTTTCATTCCATAAAAAGGTTTGGATTTTTATAAGTTGGTTTATGATATACCAGTAACAATTATTTTCACTGAAATTGTTAGAAACTTTTAATAAGACAGTGGACTCTAACTACTTCTATCAATTATATTACCAAATATCACAGTATGAATTAATATATATATTGAAACTTTGGAGATAAAATGTTAATTTTTATCCCATTACCTATCGGGATACATATTGTATCATAACCCTTGTATTGCGTTATGTATCATATTGTGGCATGATTGACATAAGCCAGCACTATTAGAGATAGGTAAATTTGTGTATGTCAACCATGTTCAGAACAAAGGACAACCAATAGAACTCAATTGGATTGCCCTAAGTGTGTAACAGTTCTGGGAATGCAATATGGTTGCATCATGTTTTGAACCTCTGAATAAAGCAAGTTGTTATTGTTTTCAATGTCCATGACAGTGCATAAAATTCAATGACCTATCACAGTTCCATTAACATGCTGAATTCAATCGATTTAAGATTTCTATTGAAATGTCCTTGAAACGTTTCAAAATACATGAAAAATGGTAAATTGACATGGCTGTCTCTATGAAATGTAACCTTTACTCTAATTATCTAGTATAAATCTTTTCAATGTTTTCTTTCTGTCCATACTACGTATTGATTATTCCAGAGATTTCTGTGGTCCTAGACTGTAACTAACTATATTCAATACATTTCCTTCCAAGACCAGCTTATAAAAGATCTTTCTAGTACACTTAAATTAACTACTTCTGTCACTGCCAGTTCATGGCATCAAATATGTCAAATCTGCAGTAATTTTAAAAATAAAATAAAATTTGTTCAGTAACAAAATTGCTATGGCAAGTTCATAGAATTTCTTTATAAGAAAACCCGCCAAATCATTTTGAACAAAGAAGATATATTATAAATCAGGAAGTGTTGTTATTCAGCTAACAATGAAAATGAAAATGTTTGAAGGGCTCTTTGACTCGTAAAACTTATTTGCACCTTGTGGATATTACATAAATTAATGACACAAACTCTCAATTTTGACACCTTTGCATCCGAACATAGTCCGTCTTCAACTATTCTGCATTTGTTAAAGGGATTGTAAAGAGGTTTTCTTAACTTTGTATGTGTATTGAGGACAATGATTTACACCATTCCAATTTTTAGTCAGACATATGTGGGTCTAGCAATTCCACCAAAACGAATCGCTTTATGATGTTGCTATAGCAAAGGCTGCTTCTATTATATACGGTTCAGCATGTTACAGTAACCACAGACATCTGATATAAAATTGGAATGATATAGATGAATTAATGAAATAGAAGCCATAAATGGACCACATATGCAATAAACAGCTAGAAAACCTCTTTAAAAACCCTTCAATCCAGTGCTTCTCAACCAATGTCCATATGCACCCCCAGGGGGGAATTCGAAATTATTGGGGGTGAAATTATACTCAAATGGGGGAATTTGAGGCTGGCGATCTACGTCTGAAATAAACTAAGTTACTTCCAGATGTTCAGACAATTGTTTACGAAAACCAAGCATAAGATTCTCACTGACATCTCTGTTATTTAAATATAAGTTTGAAACAGTACCTATCTAGCATGTTTTACAGATTATCATTTGTCATTATTAAATATTCTGTGCTGAATTATGTAAACCATGTAAGTCAAATTCTTACCTGTATTTCGTGATCTTGATTTGTAATTTCAACTAAATCATTTACATTGTCTAAGGCAGTAAATAAGGCTCCACAGGCCCGCAGTTTGAGCTGAGATCTGATTTCACCATATTCTAATTGTAAGAATTCATTTATACAACAACCAACATTAGATGTCTCTATAAATCTCTACAACATATTTAAATCATCATTTAAAAAATCAGAACAAAGCATAGAAGACTTTTCTTTAAGGTGCTGGCACACAGCAGTCTTGGTCGAACATTTTGGTAGACTTTAGAAGAGTGAAATCTTGCGTATGCCCATGCTTCCACGACAAGATTATTGCGTCCAAGACAGGCGACAAAAATCAAGACCATTCATGTGCCCGCACCTTTAGGACACTTGATCTGAGGTGTAGATCCCAGAGTTTCACTCCAAAGGCAAGTTGTGCAAGAGTGAATTCATCACATCTTTACAAGTTTTCTTAATGTGAAGGTGATGCCTACAATCTTATCCTCTTGAAACCAGGTAAGAATGCTCAAAAGTACAGTTCAAAAGACTGGTTGTGAAGACACCCAAAGACTACATTTTTTAGCATACTTTCACTGGTTAAGCTTACTTATATCATCTTAGCTCTTTCATATTAATTTGATTTTCAATTTGTCTTTTCAGATAGGTTTCTACTACATTGTGAAAATATATCTTTTAGAAAATGGATATTTTGCGGCAATCATAAGAGTGCTTCGTAATCAATAGGTTGTCTACAGATAAAAAGATGAATCAAAACCTGACAACATCAGGAGATTTCAGATTATAAAATAAAAGTGAAAACCTTGAACATGGATTTCGTGTCAATGAACATATAAAGTAAGACAGTTTGAAATGGAATTTAATAAAGATTGGTATTGAATGGAATGATTAAATAAAAACAGTTGAAAGCCTATAAAAGATTATAGTAATTGTAGAGTTGTCATGTTGTAGGAAATGTTAGCTTGATAATTACATTCACCAGTTACATTTATTCAATAATCTGAACAATGTATTAACAAATAGTTAAATTAATCACAACAAAAACCTTCTATACTTTTACCATGTTTTATCGACTCAAAAATCTCATTACAACATTTCAGTTTAACACTTTGTTTTTCAGTAATCATTTTTTTAAATTGCTCAAGGCCATTTTCACAAGTAGATTCTAATTCTACTTCATATTTAATAAACTTTTTAATATCAAAAATATCATTAAGTTTTTAGACACCTTCTTTAAATATCACCCATATCATTTAATTTTTAATAACCTTCTTTTAATAATACTAAAATAGTTTTATTGAATAAACCTTTCTTTAAATATCACCAATATTAATTCAGTCCTAATAAGCCCTTAAATATCACCATAATGCGACCTTGGCTAGTGCTTCTAAAGGAGAGTACCTTCTATAACACCTAACATACAAAATTATAAAGAAGCCGGCTTTAAATAATACTAATATCAATTAGTCAAGGTTAACTTTGACTTGACTTTGGATTAAAATTTCCAATGAAAGTAGTATGTTATTCTAAACAGGCCTGCTTCTAACTATACAAATCAGAAAGTTAACCCAAAACTTCCCAAAAACTGTATTCATTGACAAGTTACTTACTCTGTTAAAACCAGCTTTTAATAATGGTAATATAGAGGGTTCTTCTTTATCACTTGGACTGTAAAAGAAATGGAATATGCAGTTCATTCATTTATAGCCCCTTCACACCAGACTGCGATTTGCAATCTAAAATTTATATGGTCTCTGGCGAACATAAAGAAAACAAGAGAAAAGTTCCCTTACAAAAATAAATTCTACAACAGTCGCTTTCAGCCTGCAACATATTCGACCATATTGCTTTCCATAGACTTATTTCTTATATCTATGGGATTGTTGCACTTTTTGTGTTTATGGAGATGTTACGATGTTCGTCTGAAGACATTATCGCTCCTGGGGCTATCTCAACAGCAATTATCAGTGACAATGGCATATACCACGCTTATGCTAATTTTCCATCTCTGTAGCAGCTCAGTAAATACACCTATTAGATAAACCATGGTTAACCAATTCTTATTACGATTATGCTATTTCCACAGGTTTTAAATATCAAATCCATCATCAAAACAGAAGGTTCTATTTTAACTTCCAATATACGATGATTTGGGAAAATACTATGACCATTATTCTCAAAAAATTTCTCACAAAAGCTTACCTATATACTGTTGTTTTCAATGCAAGGAACACAAACTTCTGCTCCACTAAAGAACTACAGGGAAAATTGTTAGCACCAAATGAGCCAATGGAAAACTTATAAAATACTTACTATTTTTTGGTGACAGCAATAATTAAAGAATGGTCGTTGGCTTTTATAGCTCGTAAGGACCTGAAAGTAGTGTAAAGGAAAATCAAAAACTAGAAAAGAAATTATGGCAGTAAGTTTACAATATTAGCAGATTGTAATGATGTGAAAAAAGTAATAGACTAACATTAACCTTCATCTTAGAAATTTATTATCAATTTATACCACATCAAATAGATAGGTGATAGGTAGTTAAAATAAAAACTGGTTAACAAATTCTCATCATTCTCCTGATTTATTACCTCAACTTTAAGTATATTACAAAACTTATTAACATTTTTATTACATTCCCTAGTTCTTAGATTACATTCCCCATAGTTCTTGGCTTACATTCCCCATAGTTCTTAGCATACATTCCCTAGTTCTTAGCTTACATTCCCTAGTTTGTAGCTTACATTCCCCATAGTTCTTAGCATACATTCCCTAGTTCTTAGCTTACATTCCCTAGTTCTTAGCTTACATTCCCCATAGTTCTTAGCATACATTCCCTAGTTCTTAGCTTACATTCCCTATAGTTCTTAGCATACATTCCCTAGTTCTTAGCTTACATTCCCCATAGTTCTTAGCATACATTCCCTAGTTCTTAGCTTACATTCCCTAGTTTGTAGCTTACATTCCCTATAGTTCTTAGCTTACATTCCCTAGTTCTTAGCATACATTCCCCAGCATACATTCCCCAGCATACATTCCCTAGTTCTTAGCTTACATTCCCTATAGTTCTTAGCTTACATTCCCTAGTTCTTAGCTTACATTCCCTAGTTCTTAACTTACATTCCCCAGCATACATTCCCTAGTTCTTAGCTTAAATTCCCCATAGTTTTTAGCTTACATTCCCTAGTTCTTAGCTTGCATTCCCTAGTTCTTAGATTACATTCCCTAGTTTGTAGCTTACATTCCCTAGTTCTTAGTTTACATTCCCTAGTTCTAAGTTTACATTCCCTAGTTCATAGCATACATTCCCTAGTTCATAGCATACATTAACTAGTTCTTAGCTTACATTCCCTAGTTCTTAGCTTACATTCCCTAGTTTTTAACATACATTCCCTAGCATACATTCCCTAGTTCTTAGCTTACATTCCATAGTTCTTAGCTTACATTCTTAGCTTACATTCCCTAGTTCTTAGATTACATTCCCTAGTTCTATGCTTACATTCCCTAGTTCTTAGCATACATTCCCTAGTTCTTAGCTTACATTCCCTAGTTCTTAGTATACATTCCCTAGTTCTTAGCATACATTCCCTAGTTCATAGCATACATTAACTAGTTCTTAGCTTACATTCCCTAGTTCTTAGCATACATTCCCTAGTTCTTAGCATACATTCCCTAGTTCTTAGCATACATTCCCTAGTTCATAGCATACATTCCCTAGTTCATAGCATACATTCCCTAGTTCTTAGCATACATTCCCTAGTTCATAGCATACATTCCCTAGTTCTTAGCATACATTCCCTAGTTCTTAGCTTACATTCCCTAGTTCATAGCTTACATTCCCTAGTTCATAGCATACATTCCCTAGTTCATAGCATACATTCCCTAGTTCATAGCATACATGAATGGGATATTTGTCTTTCAAGAATACTGACAAATATAATCAGCATCTAAAGCTATTTTAATTTCTTCACATTAATATTTAAACATATGCTCATTATTATTATGAAATAAAAGATTATTACTTGAGTAAAATAGTTTGAAAGAAATATCTGAAGTAATAACAGAAAGAGGAAGTCATCAAAAAATATTATCTTTTTATAAAACTTGTTTGTACATTAAATTGCCTATTAAATTGGCTTGTAAACATCTTAAGGGAATCATAAAAATTATATATATTGGCACTTCTCCTATAATTAGAAAATAATTCAAAAAAATACCAAAGACATTTATATTTCTTATTAAAATATCGAAAAAAGTATAAATAGTAATTATTTTTAAATGAAATTATCAAAATACTTTTATTGATGTAATAGATAAAAAATATCTGTTGATTTTCACATTATTTGAGTTTTTGTGGTATGAAAAAGTCACAAATAAATTCTTTGTAGATTAACTTCATTTTTTAACTCTTTGGCTGTGTCAGACTCTACCTAAGCGCCAATCATTTGCCACCATTTATTACATTCTTTACAGACTAAATTAAGGCCCTACTTTAAGATATTACACACCTGCCCAAGATTGCTACAAATTAATTAAGATTACCATTACAGGCATTTTTGTTTTCAGACTGGATATAACACAATCAACAGCACTGGGCTAATAAATTAATGAACAGCATTTTTTCTGTTTTTAATGTAAGAAATATCACCGTAAGTTCTTTCACAAGATTTTTTAAACCTTATGTTAATATTGAATGAAAAATAAAAACAATCATAACCAACTGATTTAACATTCACATGTCAAATATAATAATTAATAACATCACGATGTGAAAAACTCTTCAAGCTTTTTTTCTATTAATTCAAGATGTCTAGGAATCTGTCATAATACATAAGTACTTGAAGAGATTTACTTGTTCTCTTGATATATTATTGATGATCTGTAACACTTTTTAAAACTTAAAATCCAATGTCACGTAAATCGAAATAATAAGCAGATGTGATGGATCAGATTAATTTCATTTCAATTTCCAGACCTATTTTATCCCATCGAATTAAGAAATTAGGATCAAGGTTATTGACCTGACATAAGCAGTTTATATCAGTCAATATTAACTAACAATGGGATTTCAAAGTTGAGAATTGCTATAAAAAGCTGCAATTGATTTGTACAGCTATTTAGGTCGTATTACTCAGTACTAAAAGGCTAAATTGATGTCTTTATTTACAGAAAAGTCAATCTACATATATCTTAATTCATAAGGGAATGAAATAAGTTTAATATTTTCTAGGTCACAGACAATGTCTTTCAGGGTGAAATGTGGTAATCTGTAAGGACAAAAATGATAGTTTTTTTTAATGGTCCCAAATTAAAATTTCAGATTATCTCAGAGCATATTATTCATACTACCTCCAGTGATATCTGGCAGTTATTTCACTGTGTTCTGTCATCAGCTTTAGAAGACCAGGCTAATGCCACTGTGCTGTCAAAATTTCCCTTATTGCACTCTGCATGGCATCGCCTGTCTTCATTAGCCCATATGGTAGTACGTAAAATTACATTTCTAAAAAGAATTTGGAACGTTTGTGTTTGTTTAAACATAAATTATCTAAAAAAAATACCAGCTCTAAAGATTATATAAAATATAGAAAGAGTTATGAAACTTGAGTTAACATATCCATTTGACTATTTAATTGTCTGTCCCAGACTAGCAATAATAGAGGAAGTGCCACACAGTACCATTCCCTATGGTCTCATTTCTACTGGAAATAACATTATCCAATATTAAATAACCATTCCACCATACTATTATCACAATCTTAATACTTTAACCTTTTAAAATCACAGAATCTACTTTAAATAACTCTTAAACAATACATATTTAAACCTGACATTTTATTACTATATAAAATCTAAATGCAGTACATAAAAATTGCTAATTCTTCAACGGCATATTTCATAAAACGTTGAAAGGTTTACAGATAATAAGTAACAATGACAAAAGTTCAAACCATTTAATCATAAGTCTTTCATGTTTATGGTAAGTGCAAACAGTTCAAATGAAACCAACATTTTTTCGTTTTTCCAGTTGACTCAGCTTTCAATGTGTATAAAAAATTTGGGAAAAGATCTTATGCTTAGAGTATTGCCAAAAGACTAGCAGGTGGACACAATCATTCAAAACTTATCTTGATATCCTCCTTTTTTTCCTTTCTGCATAATGTTTAAGTAGGCCTTTTCAAATAATTGCAAATATATATCATTGAATTTAACTGCATACTTCATGAAACTTATTCAATAATTTGTAAACATTAAGACTATGTTTTACAATATAAAATAACCAGATATGATTTATCACAATTTAAAATGTCAAACTTAATGACATGCACTTTTAGATTTGTACTCTACACAATCTGATTGCAAGGGATATAGACATTTTGCTGCTAGACTATAAAAACCAACCCCACTGTCATAGATTTGTTAATCCCACTGCCAGAGAATTGTTGCTGTTGCTCTGTCAAAATCTATCCCACTGCCAGAGAATGGTTGCTATTGCTCTGTTAAAATCTACCCCCACTGTCAGAGAATTGTTTCTGTTCGTCTGTCAAAATCTATTCCACTGCCAGAGAATTGTTGCTGTTTGTCTGTCAAAATCTTTCCAACTACCAGCTGGGGTGATTCTTCTTTGTAACTTATTTAATTTTGGTAAAAACACAATTACTGATAGAGAAAGATGATATCAATTAAGTCCTTACTATATTTTTATTTTCACTAAATACCATGAAATCTTGAAAGTTAATAAATTTGTCAATCCCTAATGACAATCGAGTTCTAAATATGTAACAATTTGCACAGAAGAAATAGTAAAGCAATTTGAAGCTGTCAGAAACAAATGGTTGTAATAAAAGAAAACTTCCCTACTGGACTTTAATCACTAACTAAACTGCTTTACTTTCATTTTAGCTTAATCTCTGTAGACTCTTAATAAATCAATTGTACAGTCACTTCAGATGGAAACAACTAACCTCTCAATTCAACCAGACAATGGATCTGAAGGTTTGGGAAATTTGGTAATGACTTTTAGAAAATTAGAAACTTTTGGCTAACATAAAGAAGAGACTTGGCTACTATAAAATGACATTAAATTCCAACTATAGGGAATGGATATTCATTATAAAACTAAATTGCTTTTGAATATTGGGGTGAAATTACTTTAGGACAGTGAACCCAAGAAAAATTGATGGGGCTGTCTTTTTCTAGTAAAAAATGTTTCATGATGCAGTCTGCAAAGAAATGACAAGCAGGCTACATATTGTTGCATGCCAATCTATGGAATTTATCTAGAGTTAATGGATAACAAAACAGAAAACATTTTGCTCAAATATATTTGAATCATTGAAACCTAGAACACAGTCTGTAGAATACAATTTGAATCAAGGAAACTTAACAGACACAATTTCTGGAATATATTTTGGGAACCTATTATATCTCATCTGTAGTATATTTTTGAATCATGGAAAAGTAGCAGAACTAATGGAAACCTACTGGATCCAATCTATAGAATAAACTTTGAATCAAGGAAACCTAGCAAACCCAATCTGTAAAATATATTTTTAATTCAGGAAACCTAGCAGAGCCAATGGAAACCTAGCAGATCAAACCTATTGGATACATTGTGAATAGAGGACACCTAGCAGACCCAATCTGTATTATAGCAATCTAAGCCTAGCAGACCATTCCTTTAGAATATTTGTTGACTAAGTAAACCTTGAAGATGGAATAATTTGGACAATGGTTTATGTGGCTGGTAATTAGTTTGTTCAAAAACAGGAAGTGAAATTGTATCTTAATTGAAATGTAACATTACCTCTAGGAAAGTCAAACAAGACTTGATTAGACAATAAACAAACAGAGGACATACCAGAGATATTATTCAAACAACATAATAATGTATAATAGTAATATAGACATTAGTATTGACTATTTGAAATTTATTCACATCCAGGAATATTACAAACTCAACAAGGAATGGTCTATTATGCTCAGGTAGATGAAGCAGAAATTTTACACACTAGATACCCATTGTGTCCCCACTTAAAAAGCTCTCTTTTGCTTATCTTTTGAAACTTGGTTGCATAAAACATCATAAAATCATAATTTATGATTAACACAAATTTCAATAATTTACTACAAAATTGACCTGTTAGCAATAGAACAAATTATTGTTCACAATGTCAAGATATTACGAACTTTGTCCTATACCTGAATGGATAACCCACCTTGGAAGCTAATATAGCAAAACAGCCCTCGACAAAGAGTCTGTAAACAATAAACAATGTTTCAATCAAATCGCTGCATTCTATGATACAAGAAGATTGGCTATTGTAGTCAATGTATAAGAAGTAGTTCATAATAACTTGACATAGTGAAGATGTAGAATGACAAGACAAGACTTACCTGCAAAGTGATTCGGCATCGAAATATTTAGATGATCTATGATCAATAAACACAATATCTTGATGATTTAAACTGTATGATTCTATAGCAGCATCTGGTGATCGAACTGATGTGTATTTATATCCTATTCTTTCTGCTGCCCAACTTAAACTATCACTCTGAACATCTTCTTTATTAAATACTAATAAAACCTGTAATAAATATTCAACATTTTTATAACGATTTTTCAACTTTTGGTATAAGAAAGCCAATATCAAGTTTAGTTAAAACCATCTCATTAAAATTAGATTAGGATTTTGTTTTTTATTTTCTGATATTTTTGTCTCATTATTAATCCAACAAGTTTTTACTGCAGTCTTGTTCTAATGATGTTATTCCAACAAATCAAAGTCTGGTATATAAAACCTTGACAACTATAAGGGGTACAATATTATAATCACATTTTAATTGTCTTTCAATGCTCATTTCCAATCATTCAAAAGAGATATGACAATTATTTTTGGCACATCATGACTCAACCTTACATTGGAAAGTAACCTTATTTAACTCCGGCATTATGGACACCTCACTGTCATTTAAACAATACACTCTTATTCACTTTATTCAAATAGCTTCATATGATGCACCAAATCGCCCACGCTCATATATTGTTCACAGGTATTTTGCATGTTTGTGTGTTAATATTTACAAAACAAACAGTAAAAATGGCACTGTTCAATTGCAATGATTGGCTGGTTTTAAAATCAAATGACATCATGAATATTTATTATCTTAGTCCTAATTATGAGGAATTATATGGTGTAATATGGTAAAAATGCCAAGTTCTATATATATATATAGGGTTAAAATACACCCTGGATGGATATAATCAAATTCATGAATTAGGCTTACATTGGCACGTGTCATATTCATTGTTTTTTTTATTTATTTATTTATTCATTTATTGATATATTCACCATCTACACCACTTTAACAACTTATAAATAATAGGTTGAATTATAATCTTGGTACTTATGTAAAGTTATTAAATATTTAAACACCATTTTATTGCTGAGGGTGAAAGATTTTACATATTTATGCTGCAATTATGTTTATCTCTAAACAACCTTAACACTTTCTGATGCTACTATCAGTTATATAAGAAGCCAAGTCTATTCTTAATTCAAATTAACTGCAGGTTACGTCAACATGCCTGTGCTTTTGTAACATTACTTAATCACAATGTAACAACCTAAAATTCTGAATTCTATATCAAATCGAGCAAGTTAAACTTCTGACAAAATTCAATGACATTTTTGAAAAAAACAAGCCCCAGTTTTTGGTTAAAAGTTAGGTTTGTATATTTAGAAATCATTACTTACCGACATTGTTTTTTTATGAATATGCAATGGACCAAATTTTATATCGCATTCAGAACTCTGAAAATAGAAAAACAGATGATTAAGTTATGGTTGATAAACAAACACTTCTGATGATGGAAGTGTGTTTTGATGATTCAACCTCCATTGACAAATCAAATATTCTCTAACCTACATGACACTTTTCTTTCAGAGTGTGTGTTTGACAGACATGCAAATATGCAAATGACCTTCGGGTTGGAAGAAATTGATATCTTTTAATTACGTAAGCCAATAGCGTTTTGGATTGTCACTCCAACTGGGGTAAATAGTCCCACCTATACAATCATGGAGACTTTGCTTTCATTGAAGTCTTTCAAGATCTCTTCTCTTTGGAGTGAATGTGAAAAGAATTCCAGTGTAAGTAAATACAAAACATAAATTAATACCCTCGCAGTTTACACATATGAATATAATGTTAATATGTTGCAATTTACAAATAAACTATTGTTTTGTCAATAACAGATGTAAATCACATGGAAATTACATGTTGAATAGGTCCTGTAAACCAGATATAAAAATATATGTTCTCTTTATTGAAGTATCAAGAAAATTTAAATGGTTAGAGCCTTTTTTCACTGTAATTTATTGACATGTAAATTACACCGTTTAAATTGTTTACAAAGATAGTTTTTTGGTTTGAGAATGTGAATAGAAGGGAAGGAATAGAATTGATGTACATGTAATCTGCTGTCGAAATTGTTTCTCAATATGGATACATTATGATTTCCCTTGGTCCTATGATTTTTATAAACTTTAGATAATTATTTTATCCGTTTAGTATGTCAATGCTAGTATTGTTCCTGTCCTTTACTTAAGTATTGTTCCTGTCCGTTACTTAAGTATTGTTCCTGTCCGTTACTTAAGTATTGTTCCTGTCCGTTACTTAAGTATTGTTCCTGTCCGTTACTTAAGTATTGTTCCTGTCCATTACTTAAGTATTGTACCTGTCCGTTACTTAAGTATTGTTCCTGTCCGTTACTTAAGTTTAGCTAATCTGCGGGTAAAAACACTCGATTCAGAATAAACAAGATACAGTTGTATCACCAACTAAATATCTGAAACTTATGCTATAAGAAATAATGTTATGATAAAGGGATAACTTAATGAATATATCCCTTAAAGTCAATTCTATTTGTAATTGATAGTTATTGATCATACTCTAGTGCTTTCATACCATTAACAGTTGAAAAATGCACAAACATGTTTTGTAACTAGAAATAGCTGTTTTTATTGACCAACTACGTCATGCATCAGATTAAAATAGAGATTATATAACAGGAGTCTATTAGTGTGCACTATCAGACCGCCTTGTGCCAAATTACACAGCGTTTTTAGGTCATTATAGTCTATTTTAGAGGTAGTGGAGCAGCAACCATTATTCAGTTCGAAGAATTCATTTTTATCTTTAAACCTAATCATCCTGCAGATTTTGCTAGGAAGATCGCAATTTATATACCAGGTGTTTCCAAAGTAGGTCCCCCTCCTCCACAGTATAAACTAAAATAGATATTGACTAAAATATAAGAGATTGATAACAGGTATGTGCGGCCTCCTGTACTACAGACTGCATTCTTGAGGGATATTCAGCAAATCGGAATAAAGCTTAGAATTAACCCGGCTATTCAGTCATCTCTCTTCACAGGTTTTTGAGATTTGGTATACATTGCAATAGACAAGAAAGAATAGTCAAGACCCCACCCATCATCTTTTTTTTTCTGGATACATAGAGCCTCTGTAAGTCTAACAATCACAACCATTCTGAATTAGACCCTGACTAAACCAGTTGTATCATATCTAAACAGATCCTGAAACTTCTTAAAAAAAGAAATTAAATATCTCAGGATGTGCATCAATATCACTAACAGCATTTGGATTTGTCTGATCAACATAAAGCTTTTTTTCACTCAAATTATATTTCATCAATATCTACTTTGTAATTTTAAATTACATCAGTCTCATTTGTCTGTTTAAATAAATATGATAACGATAAAATACATCATTGACGTCCTTACATCACGTACATCATATTACCTTATCAATAGCTGAAAAAATATGTACTTTAATACAGAGTGAATTCAATAATTCAATAATACTGCATATTACTTTATCTTTTACCATTATAAAAATATATCTTATCAAACCCAATCAAATAATATCATCACATATATTCAAAAAAAACAATATTTTATCAGTGTCAATTTTATGTCATACTTTTTCGGTGGTATCTGAGATGCTCTTGGACAACTTAACAATTTAAGAAACATCTGGTTTCTTGCACTAAAGGGATGCTGGGTGTAAAAAAAACAGAGAAAATTAGAAGTGTGAAAGAATACAAGTAAATATAGTTGGTAACAAATCAATATGGCTTCCAAGAACACATTCTTAGATCATAAACAGTATTTTCACAAGTCATGCATAAAATAACTGTTGTGTAATATGTCAAAACAATAAATTGTTATGTGATAATATAGGAGATTAACTTCATTATTGGAATACATGACCAATTTTTGTCTGTAAAAAATCTAAGTGAAATGAGTCAATATGAACTTGACTTATGTCATGATAACTTTAGCCCTTAGTTCTATGTTAGCCTATACAGCAAAAGATGTGACATAAATGGTGTAGGTGGATAATTATGGTATGACTGAGCTAAAAAATATTCATCTTTCCAAATATATCTGGGTTTAAAACCCCTGCACCTGAAGAGATGCAGAAAGTCATAATTTTTTCTGCCTCTACAGCTGCCGACATTTGTCTAAATAGCTATCAGAGGCTGGAATATAGATGGATGTTTCGGTCTACAAGAGTTCCTGCTAGTCTAGTACAAGAGTTCCTGCTAGTCTAGTGGAAAGAACTGTAATACCAATAGCATTCACTGTTTAGACTACTAATTTGTTGGCAAATCTCTCAGGCACAACAGGGTGTACCAAACAATGACCTTTCAGCACTTGTCACTCATTAAAACAAGGCTGTTTTCACAGTTTTGATGTGACTTGACAATAACAGTTGGAACGTCACTGTGGTTAGTTCACAAATTAAAATTTGGACTGAGATCCATATGAATGGCAGCAATAAGGTAGTACAGTACATTTATTTTGACCAAAGTCATATATGTAGAAAGAAAAAACTTCTTTGGTTTGAGAGACCCTTATGGTTTCCCTGTAGTTGAACTCTTCAAAGGCAACTAGGCAAGAGTGAATTCTGTACCTCTTTTTATACTACAAATTCATCTCGCTCTCTCCTTTCACTGGCCAACTTCATTTCATTTTTAACCAAAGCCATGTTAAAACATATGTAGTATTTAATGCAACTATGTAGAAGTATCTTGAAAGCAAGAAGCCCTGAATTAAATAATGCACCACACAAATTAAAAACCAACATTATTAACTAGACCACAACGTTTCTTACCATTTTTAAAACACCCATACTCCACAAGTAATATCATTGTCTTAAACAACACAGGTTGTTGACAACTTTTTTTTTATCTTGAAATGAAAGATAATGGCGGATATTTGAAAGATAAAAGTTCAGTGATGACGTTTTAACCCTGGTTTAAACTCTAGACTAGCCTAGATGAAATAAATATAAACTTAGATAGACTATGTATTAAATAGTTATCTTTTCTTATCTTCAGCTTAACAAGCTACATCATCAAAATATATTTTAATCAAGTTAATGATTTCAAACCTTAACTATCAAACCAGCATGTACATATTGCGTATGAACATAAATAGGCTTCATTCCAAAATTTTCAACCCTAAAAAGTTTTCAATACGTTGAGTATCATTGTCTGTCCT